ATTATTATAATTATTATTATTATTATCATATTTCCTTTGGTTTCTGGTGTGTACCCATTTCGTTCTGGGTCCCGCCCAGAAACCATAGGTTAGAAATGGCATCATGAAATTTTTCTAGGACACCAATTACAACAGGGATTGTTAATGTTCCTATGTGCCACATTTTTGAGATTTCGATTTCAAAGTCCTTGTATTTTGATACCATTTTGAAGATCTCCAAAGATACATTGCAGTCCGCAGGGACTGCCATATCAATAAGGAGGCACATTTTTTTTGGTTGGTGGCCTCTAATAACAATCTCTTGGCGGTTAGCTTTGATTGTTCTGTGTGTATTGTGTAGTCCCATAAAATTGTAGCAGGTCCTATCTCCGTAACCGGATCTGGGTGGTGTTTATACCAATTTCTTTCAGGTTCCTTCCCGTAGAAGTTGCAGATATTCCAATGCAGATACTGGCCAACTCTGTCATGCTGGGTTTTATATTCAGTGGGTGCCAATACCATGCAACCTAATACAAGATGATCAATTGTTTCTTGGTATTTATCACAGAACATGCATTTTGGGCTAACACAATATTTTAGTATGTGTGCTTGATAATTTCTAGTTAACAAGCACTGATCCTTTGCAGAAAGTATAAAACCTCCAGTTTCAGCTTTTAACCATGCACTACGTAGCCGTTGATGGGTACGGGGCTTGTCTACATAAGCTTGTTTTCTTTTTTATGTATTTTGCAGCATCAGTCGGTGTATTGTGCTTTACTTTATTTCTGCATCCATTTGAAGCTCCATTTTGAACTTGTTGGCTTCTTTTATTACGGAATAAAGGCGCTTACTATTTTCATGTTCTTTGACACATATCATCATTCAGTCTTTTGTAGTATCCAGGTATATTTGAAGGCCAATTGTTGTAGATTTGTAGGACAGTTGTAGTTGAACTAATCCTCTGCCTCCTTCGAATCTGGGCACATACAGAAGATCAACATCAGCTTTGGGATGATGCATGCGGTAGCAAGTGAGAAGCTTTCTCATTTTGGCGTCCATTCGTTTAATATCTGCTATGTTCCAATTAAGGATGTTAAAGCTGTATTGCACCACAGGGACAGCCAAGGTGTTTATGGCTGATATTCTGTTTTTTAATTCAGCTCGGTATTTAGTACCAGACGCACACACTTGTAGTAGTCCTTTCTTACCTTCTTCATTTGGGTATGTTGTATACCATCTCCTTCTCTAATTCTTAGGTTGTTATAGGCTTCATCTTGTTCCAGTTCCCTAATCTTTGTGACAAAGTCTAAATCTATTGGGGGTGTTTCTATAATTCTCCCTTTCTTGATTGTTACTTTTGCAAATTTATCTAATCAGTAGTCTATGCCTATGTCGTCACTGAAATATTTTAAAGTATTGAGGAGGCAATTCAACTCATTGTCATTCCTGGCAAAGAGTTTGAGATCATCCATGTAGAGGTTTTGTCTAGTTTGTAACCATAGCTATGTTGTTTAGTTCATGCATAAGTGGGACTAAGGATAAACAAAACAGAAGGGATATAGAGGGAGGTTCCTTAAAAGATTCCGCGTCGGATATTCAGATGATTGGGGATGGCAGAGCCTCTGCTGTGATTAAGGCATAGTGTGGTGTTCCATATTCCCATGCTGTGCTTAAGGAAATTTACTAACAGAGGAAAAACTTTGTACATTTCCAAAGTCTTAAGGATCCAAGTGTGTGGCACACTATCAAATGTTTTACGATAATCAATCCAAGCTGTCCTCCAATTTAAAGGGTCGTCTTGGTCAAGATTTCTACGGTGTCTCTTACAATTTTCCAGGATCATTTTGTTTATCAGTAATTGATCTTTTCAGCCATATAAACCTCTCCTGCATCACTTCTGTTCCAGTAGAAGAATGTTGTTTGCTTCGAAAAAAGAGTAGTTACGGTTGGTCAGGACAGACGTGATCAACTCATACGTGGTGGAGAGACATGTTATTGGCCTATAATTTTTCGGATCATCTATTTCACTCGTTTATTATTATTATTATTATTATTATTATTATCTTACAAATTACTATCAGGATATTATTACTGTTACTCTTATCATCGTAAAAAATAGTATCAGTGTATTATTAATATCTTAACAATTAATATCAGGATATTATTATGATTGTTATTGTTGTTATTATTATTTGAAATGTGAACAGTGATGTTTCAAACCGAAGACCTCAAATAGCAAGCACTTTCCGCAGGATAATTTGCTGTGCCTGAGATGGGTACTATTCTATTGTTATCAAGGTGCTTCTGGAGATTATTTGGAATCGACGCAAGGGCTCTGTTGACAATCTTGGTATATGCATTCCACTTTTCTTCAAAATCTCCTCTCAAATATCAGTTGTTCAATGTAGGGATATTTAGATTATTATTATTAATATTATTAATAATAGTTTTTTTTTATGATATATTCCTATGAAACTCAGGTGTATGTATAAGGAAACATTCAATTTTCTTTATTAGTAAAAATCCACATATGCAAATATATAAAATATCTATATATATAAAATGCAGTGTATAAATATATAAATATATTTTTGTTGTCTGTCACATTGTTCTATATTATCAGATAAGACCACTAAATAGAAGTGGGTTCACTGACCATTTGTACGAACAGGTGATTCTTGCAGATTAATAAATAACGTGACCGTGACCAAAACGACCCTTTAAATCGGGGGACACCTGATGTATTCTGACCTGGAAAGGGAAAGTTCTATTTTGCTCTAGACGCACTACGCTTAGATGAATACCTACCAAGACATGTGCAGGGAGATGATCAGGTGCTTAGCAAATCTACGACCTCACTCGATGATGATGTAGTCATGTACTCTGATGACGTAGTAGAAATATATTTTTCTGTTATTTTTAAGTTGGCAATAAAACGACATGATGTATTCAGGTTTTAAACTATTTTCCCTCATTCATCATTTTTTGTAGCGCGTAGAAAAAAGGAGAGTAATTATGTAAGTATATTGCAGTTATAAACTATCAAAACAGAAATATTGCCATCATTTCCGAATAATAATAATAGATTCTGTGAATGGTTTTCATGGCATAACTGAATGAATTCGTGGCAGTCCATGTTTTTAGGAATTACAAAAGATTGTTCTTATAAGCAGAGCTTACACAAACAAATGACTTTATCTATGTAAAATGGCTATGTAATGGTAGCATTTCTAACCTTAGTTCACTGGTTTGGGAGGAAGTCCGTATACAGTGGAAATCAAAGGAAATAATACTAATAGACATTTTTTCTCGAAATGCATGCTTTGAATATTACTGCCATATGTAGTCTGGTGCTCCTGCTATATATCTAGAGATTTAGGATAAATCCAAAGAAGCTTCAATGTTATTGGTCCTGATCTAGCATCTTGTCTTCCGTCCCTTTCCTACCGCCACAACTTCCCTGCGTCTTTACTATAAATACTTTCATGGTAATTGTCCTGATGAATTTTCCTTTATGGTACCTCGACTCTATGAATCTAAACGCAGTAGCAGATTGGCGGCAAGGTATCAGCATTTTACAGGTGAAATGGCTAAATTATACGGTATTATCATCCACTGAATATAAAACTCGGAATGAGAGGTTGGGTCAATGGCTAAAATGGAAAATCTGCAAGTTATATGCTAACAGTTTCTTCTCTCGCACTTATCGATGGTGGAAATCTCTTCCGGCTTCTTGTTTCTCAGTCAATTTTGATCTTCAAAATATTTAAATGCAATATCAATCGTTATCTTCTGTCTTCTTAATTCATGTTTTGTTATTGTTCTCTCTCCGTAATCAATAGTGCGTAAACAGCATGGCCGAAGAGTATCAATGGGAAAGCATCATGGCCGAGGTTCGAGAAGGTTTTCTTAAAGTATGACAGACAAGGTGACTTGGGACTCACATCACACATTTGGAAGCACTCTGTCGGAAATCGTTCTTGCGGACTGGGTTATCTAACAGAAATATATTCCTAACTGAGCCCCATATGCAAGGTTTTATCGAAACCTGTAAACATATCTGTCACTTTTAGCTGTGATACATGCGCCTGGTATACAGTTATCTAACTGAGTGTCGTGATAGGCTTCGTATATTTGTACTCCAAAGTCACTTTATTGGCGTTCGTCTCTCTAACCCTATAATAATAATAATAATAAATGTAGAATATGCGATGAATATCCAGAAACAATTGGCCATCTTGTATCAGGTTGTACGGTATTATCATCCACCGAATATAAAACTCGGAATAAGAGGTTGGGTCAATGGCTAAAATGGAAAATCTGCATGTTTTATGGGAAGGACATTGTAGAAAATTGGCATGGAAGCTACACAGTCCCAATTACAGACATAGGAACTTTTACAATACACGCAGACAGAACAATCAAAGCTATTGAACCAGGCATGTAGACTGCAATGTAACTTTAAAGATCTCCCAAAAAACTATCAAAATACAAGGATCTTGAAGGGGAAAGCTAAAAAGTGTGGCACATAAAGACGTCAGTAATTCCAGTTGTGGTTGGGCCCATAGCTTTGATGAGAAAAGGTCCTGACCAACTTATTGAAGGGATCTATGGTAAATCATGTTTTAAGGAAATTCAAAAGATTGTTTTTATAAACACAACTCACACCCTACGAAGGGCTTTATCTATGTGTCTGCGTTGTTAGGTTTGTAAACAAATGTGGAGTGGAAAGGTCATGATGCTATTTCCGACTATGATTGTGACCCTGTAGGAAATAATACAGAAATCGAAGGAAATAATAACAATAATAATAATAATACACTAAACATATAAAAGTAAAAACTATTAATAATAAATTCATGTCAATTGATGAATGTCGAATTTACCATTCAAAACCAAACAAAAGGTGACGACAAATCACAAATGGAGTGGTCTGTGGATGATGATTAGCATAAAATGTCATTAGAAAGTCAAATTTGATCCACCTCTTGTTCGAAGTGCAAAGGATAAGTTTTCGACATCTACATAAAATCTTCTGTTTGTGTAACTTCCATCTGGGAGTGGTTCGAATCGTGGTCAGTTTTTAGTTTTTCCTTCAGACCACGGTTAGGCACATACTTCTCAGATTTGATTCCGTTGTTTGCTGGGGTTTGGGACGAAGAGCATTTCGCCATAGGTCGCATACGCATAAATTCTAACTGTCTGTAATGTGAGTTGGATCTCTCCCAATAGTTCCCGCCAGATGTTCGATCGTCTGCAATAACGAAAAAATAGATGAATGAAAAGGCAATCAAGAAATATTGCATGAAAAAATCCGAAAATATTGTTCCAAAGTTTACAATGCAACCAAATAAAAACAATCTAATTTAATCAGTAAGCATCCGAATTATATTTGATTAATTCATTTTCTACGGCTTTCTAGGTTATTTTAGCTTGTATGAATTTTTTAGACAATAATGTTTTAGTGATACAAGTCCTACCAATTAACTCATTCTGACATGTTATTCTGACATGGCAGAACTATTTCCAAGTCTCACTCGTCTATCACGCTCCTAGACTGTGCAAGTGAATCTCTGAAATATAAAACTAAATATATAGCAAAGAGGATTCGTGCATTTTTCATTTCTAAGTATGGTCTGATACAACATTCCATTTCCTTGTGAACATACAATGATTTTTTTTCAGTTTTAGTGCAACCGACGTGGACGAGAATAGTAACGCAACATGGGGTTATGTGCCAGGTCGGTGAAATTTGACTATAGAACATAACATTTTATTTCTGCTATGTTATCAAAGTTCAATACATAGAAATTGGAAATTGCGTGTGTGTTTGATTGATTGGATAATTTACTTTTTACGACTATATTTATATTTAAAGCCAGAAAATATTTTTATATTGTAAGAATATTTCCTGGATAATAATTATTTACTAATGCAAATCCTACTCATAGAGGAAGAAGAGGTGGATTCATATTTCCCCCCTCCAAACTTACTCCATTTGGTATTCTCAAGCGGCCACTCATCTATGCACTAACCACGCTCGACGTTGCTTAGGTTAATACACTGAGAATCTAACGCCCACATCACCTTGAAACCACCGTACATCACCGAAGTTAAGCAACGTTGAGCCTGGTCACCACCTTGATAGGTGAGCGATTCGGAATAACAGGCGCTGTAAGCTTGGATGTACAGATGATGTAATGGATAATGGCTCGGAATTGTTAGTCGAAGATCCGACTTCCAATTCCGTTGGGTTTGTTATATTCTCTTACGATTGGGAATACCAGGTGCTGTAAGCTTGAATGGGAAAAAGGTATGAATCCACCGCTTCTCCCTCCATGTATGAGTTAATAAGTAGAACTTGTATCAGTAAATCAATAACATCTCCAAAGATTCTTATAAGAATATTTGATAAGCCGTAAAAAAAAATTCTTCAATCAATCACACACACGCAATTGCCTATTATTATGTATTGGACATTGACGACATAGTCGAAATCAAATTTTATATTTTAAATTATTTGTCAGTATTTCACTGACCAGGCCCATGTTGCGTCTCTATTCTCGTTCGCTGCACAAAAACTGGGAAAGGTTCATTGCATGTTCAAAAGGAAATAAAAGGGGATATCATGCCATAGTTAGAAATGAAAATGAAAATCATCTTTGCTATATATGTTGACCATGTTTGCTGCAGTCTCTGAATATTGAATTCAGTGAAGTCCGTAATCTGTTCAATATCAGAGGTCAGCAGTGAAGATTCTGAGAAAGTAGCGGTTGCTAAGTAATTCTTTAAGTCTTCGATATCCGGTTGGCAGTGCAGACAATTTGGGAGAGAAAAAAGGCTGCTTTTATACACGTCGCATTAAATATTTTGAGCTTTCTGATTGGTTAACCCTTCTATTGGTGAACTATAAAGTGAGTCAGCTGATTTTGACATGCTCACTACTAAATATGTATACACAAAAAACTGCAACACCCCCTCATTTTTGGGTGCATTATGGAATCTTCTTTCAAGATATTAGTAAAGTCTATATTCATATGGAACAAATATTTTAGTATTCAAGTAAATTTTTATTTTTTTTAAAGAAAATTAATATCCACAAAAATTAGTTATATCATTTTGTCCAGAGTTAAGTACTCCAGGTTAATAAACATTAACAACAATATTGTAAATTTGGGTTGTGATCACATCAAAAAAAGTGGAAAAAATTGTTATTTTACCTATAGATGGGACCCATTAAAACAGTCACTATCACTCCGGGTCAGAGTGATCTTGAGGGTCATTAGAGTAGGATTGGGCTAAAAGTAGGACTATTTACATTTATACCCCGAAACTAAGGACTCACATTCATACCAAAAACTGACGTTTCTTAAGACAATAACTAACGGATGCAGTTTTACGTCTTGCCCAGGACTAATAAGGACCTAAGAGCGACTTAATGGATGCAGTTTTACGTCTTGCCCAGGAATAATAAGGACCTTATAGGCCAGTACCAAATATGACAGGAATGAAAGCCCCTAATTTCAATTTTTGTAATTGGCTTTGTAAATAAATCCGACACGTTATTTTCCGATTGAACATATTCAATTTGTACTGTGTTTTTTTTTGTACCAGATCCCTTACAAATTGATATTTAATATCGATATGCTTTGATCTTTGATGTATTATTGGATTTTTAGCCAAAGCAATACTGGCCTGATTGTCGCAGTAAATAATTATTGGCTCACTTATTATCACTGTTGTAATTGTTTTTATTAGTAATTTAAGAAAAATAGCCTCTTGTGTTGCTTGCGACAATGCAATATATTCAGTAGAAAGTGAAATCATTCCCTGTTTCTTAGATTTCCAGGTAATCATTGGATTATCGTTTGCTAGTCTAAAGCAATACCCTGTTATACTTTTACGATCTGGTGAGTTTGCCCACTCAGCATCACAAAATCCTTCCAATTGTAATGGTTTTTCTGATTGTCGAAATACTAGGCACCGACTCTTAGTTCCCTTTGGATAACGTAATACTTGCTTAGCTCTTGTTAAATGCACAGTCCCCGGTTTATTTAAGTTTTGGGACAAGTTAGTAACCGTATAGCAGATATCTGGCCAGGTTGCTGTCATGACGTAAATAAGACTTCCCACCAATGTTCTGTATTCTTTCTCACATGCCGCTATACCGTCTTCATTATTCATAATTGTGTTTAAATCCATTTCACATGGAGTAGTTCGTGTTTTACAATTTTGCATGCTGAATTTAGATAAGAGCCTTTCGATGTATCTCGATTGATTCATTGTAATAGTGTTGGCCTTAAATTCGAACTGTATACCAAGAAACCATGATAGTCGACACAAGTCGGTCATTTTAAACCTTATATTTAGGGAATTTTTGATTTTTAATAGAGCGGCTTCACACTTTGATGCAATTAACATATCGTCGACCCAATTATAGTGATTTTTGAGTTTCCATACATAATTATCACATTTTTCAAAACCTTCTGGCGGTTCTATGTATATTTCATAGTCAATCGCAGCATTCAGGTAAGCCGCTTTAACATCCATATGGTGTATATCCATACCATAATGTGCGGCCATTTGCATCAAAATTCTAATTGTCATGTTTGTTGTTGGACTGAATGTTTCTACATAATCTACCCCGAAAATCCTTTAGCTACAAAACGAGCCTTTTACACTGGCGATCCATCCTCAGTTCGCTTTTCAGTATAAGCCCAACGGCTGCCGATAATATTTTTATCATCCGAGGCCTTTTTCAATTCAAAAGTGTCGTTTGATACTAAAGATTCGATTTCTTTTTGCATGGCGGCTATCCAACGTTTGGAATTGTCAGAATTTATGGCTTCTTGATAGTTCTTCGGGATGCATTGTACCGAATAGCAACAGTCAATGTCACAGATATTACATTGACCAATTCCAAAAGAGTCTGGCTTTCTTCTATTTCTGATCGGATAACGCGGAATTTGTGTCCTCCTCATCGGTTATATTTTCTTTTAGTTCAAGTTTTGCGTCTGATTTTTCCTTGTCTACATCATCTGGTATAACACCTTCCTCTGACTTGGATTTTGAACGGGTTTTCTACTTATAGACCCTATCCCATATTTAGGCGATACTAGTTCGTGTTGGAGCAGTTAATGTTCTTTTCTTCGGGTTCCTCCCTTGGATCAAAGGAATCTGTAAATCTGACGCATCTGATCTTCCTTATTATTTTACTTTGCGAGAAATAAATCATATAGGCTGGACTTGTCTTGTCATACCCAATAAATATGACTTTCACTTTTTGGATCTAGTTTTGCCCTGTGGTCGACATATGTGTAGCAAATTGTACCAAAAATATGCATACCACTTTCGTTGGGTTTGTAGTTCGTATAAGCTTCGTAACGAATCTTTTTAATGTTACTATTATAGCAACGGTTTCTTATATATACGGCTGTATTTAACGCATAAACCCACAGATTTTGGGGTAACTTAGATTCTATTAGCAAACATCAAGCCATCTCGAAAAGCGTCCGCCAACTACGTTCAGCGACTCCGTTCTAGTGTGGTGAATAAGAACAAGTTTTCTCATGTTTAATGCCTTCATTTATTAGGAGGTTTTCGTAAGCATCAGAAGTAAATTCTCCTCCATTATCTGTTCTAATTATTTTTACTTTTCCATACGGGGAGATATCGGATAAATAGATTTTTGTAGCTTACAGGGTATCAGATTTGTTTTTCAGAAAATATATCATAATAAGTCCTAAATATTCGTCAACAAAGTTTAATACATATGAATAGGTGTCGATACCCATTGGTGAAATTGGACCCGCTAAGTCGCAATAAACTCTGAACAGGATATCTGTTGATTTTGGGATCTGACCCCTATTTCTATATTTCGACATTTTCACTTTAATACACGTGTCACAATATTGTAAGCCCTTTGGAAATGACGTGTTCTTGTAATCTTTTAACATCCGAATTATTAGAGTGGCCTAATATTTTATGCCAAGTCCTTAAGTCGTGCGTGGCTGTCTTCGCAGACTTAACACTTTTCAAATAATACAAACGTCCATTTTGTTGTATATTAAATTCAGTTCCGTCTGGCGATATTAACTTTGAATTGTCACAGTGAAAATTAACTTTAACACCAGTTCTAACAGCAGACTGAACCGAGAAAATATTTTGTTTAAATTTATGAATATATAAAGCCCTTTTTAATAAACATTTACAAATATTTCCTTTAGTATCTCGCAAATAAATACAGGCATCGCC